GACCGGGCCGCGAGCAGCCGCGGCCGCCGCGGTTGCCTCCCTTAGCCACCAGCGCTCCCGACTCGGCTCCTCAGGAGGGAGCGGCCAGTGGGCCCGCATCCTGTCAGCGAGGTTCGAGGCCGGGCTGCCGCGGCCACCTCCTCCTGGTACCTAGGCCGCCCGGAGGAGCCGGGGCCGGAGCACCGTGGGCTGACTGACCCGGGGAGCTGACACCGCTGGACACGAAGGCGGAGGCGCGCGTCTGGCAGTCGCCTGGAGCCGAGAGGAGGCCGAGGGGACCATGTCCGGGAGGAATTTCCACCTCTCCACCACCGAACGCGTCATCAAAGGTGCCGGGCGGGCAGGGCCCTCCTTGTTCACCCGCGGGAAACGGCCTTCGGCCGGGCGACGGCGGGGGGACGGAGGGCGGGGAGCCGGGAAGGGGGGGGCGGGAGGGCGGCGGGGGACCCTGGCTGCGTGGGTCCGGGAGGAGGACCTGGAGGGAGTGTGAGAGAGGGGAGGGGGAGCCCCGCAGGGCAGTCCTTGGGCGTTTTCTGTTGCACCTTGATCTGTAGCTAGCTGGAGATTGCTAATTTATCTCCCGTAGTGTGGGACTTGCGGGTAGGCTGGGATCCCCATCTTTTTTAAAAGAAACGATTCCTCTTTTCTCGTCTTTTATCTGTGAAGCCATTTAGGGTGATGTGGGCAGGGACTTTAGTAGATTCTTCCAAGTCAGATCTTTCTGCCGCTCCCCTTCTTTAGGATCTGATTATCTCGCCCCTCCCCCCCTTTTTAAGGACGTTTACCATGTACCTTTTGGCCCACTTTCTACAGATCATCACAAGTCACTGCTGTTATTTAAAAGAAACAGTGTGGTGAAATAAATACAAATAAATCCATTTTGTGATGTGTGAAAGGGATTTACAGATCTCTTGACATGATGTTGGTGCTTTATTTTATTTTTTTGGCTGTAGAGACTTGAAGAAGGATATTCTCTGATTCAGATGTCTAACCAAAACTAAAATGTTCCTTACTGTAGGGTTTTACATTGTAGCTGTTTCTGCTCTTAAACTACTTATACTGGTTTAAACATAACCTCTAATTTATGCACTTCTGTTCAGCCGTGACACTTAGGTACAACTCTTCGCTCTTGAGTTTTAACTATCGGTTTGAAAGCACTATTTATAAGAAGGGAGTGTACACCTAAGCGAGCTGTGTTAGTGGCTTCTGATAAAGGGGTTAGCTCTAAGTGGGCAAAACTATTAAAATACTTTTACTTTTTCATTTTGGTAATTAGAAAGAGAAAGGAAACTAAGATTGGTGACAGAATACGTTTTTGTTTTTGTTTTAATGTGGAAAAGCCTATTGAATGTTCAGTGAAGGGGGAGAATTTTAGTGTTTAACTTAAATTTTTTCTCCCTAACACATGAATCATCATAAATGTTGATTTTCTACACTACTAATTTTAGTGTGTAACTTAGTTTTTTCCCCTCTAAAAAGTCAAGATCATAAGTGATGATCATGAACACTGATTACCTACACTATATAATGTTCAGTAAATAAAATGGGGTTTTTGAGATTTATCTACTCAGATCGTCTGGTATTATTAAGGATCGAAGTGAATTGTTCATATAACTGACATTTAGCCCTTTAACTTAAATAATTTTGACCATTTTAATGTCAGTTTTTATAGTATATAACCCATAAAGAGTATAAACCCTCTCTTAAGATAAAGAATATACTAAACATAACCTTTTTTGATAAATCAAGGTCAGTTGTGTACATTAATTTCTGTCCTGTGCTGTTAACATGGCTGGTGCATTCTGCTGTTTAAGGGTGTTGGCAGTTTCCTCCTGTACCAAAATGACTCCTTACTGCTATACTGTTTAATGCTTTTGTCTGTTTTTTGTTTATCTTCTCCAGTACTGTTCTTTATCTGTCAAAATATGCCCTTCTAATCTGCTGTTTCTAAGCTGAAGTAGGCAGGGAAACCAGATAAACCAGAATTGTGTGTCAAGTTAGAATAAATAGGATCTCAGTGAAGCTTAGTGGCAGTCCTCAGATCTTTAGGAATCTCAAATTCTGATCGCCATTGTGGCATGTAATTCCCACCATAAGATGCCATAAGATATAAAGGAAATTTTAAAATAACGCTTTCAGACCCTTAAATATAGAAGTAAAGTAAAATGAAACATAGTTAAAAGGCAGGTGCTCTCTTATTGCTAGGCATGCTCACAGTTAAGTAAACACTTCCATTGTCTGTATAATTTGTTTTTTGGCCAAATTATAAATTACTGCATGTTGTATACTTACAAGATTACGCTTAAATAAATGAAATATAATGATTTCAAGCCCTTAGAGTTTGTGGATTTATCTTAAATGTAAATACTGTAGTGTGAGAACTTGACCACAGCAATTTTGGCTTCTCTGTGACTTATGTTGCTTTTTTCCTGGGTTTTCCAGAGTTTGAAATAATTGAGGTTTGTTCTAAGAAAATAAGGTGTCACTGTATATGTAGCTAAGGTCCATTGTATTGGGTACTAAATCCTGATCTGATGTTATCTTGTCTGGCCAGAGTTGTCTGCATTTATTCACAGCTGGAAATCTTTTTCGGAGGTGAGACCACACCCCAGTTATTTTTGGTTCTGTCATTTCCTGTTAACTTTAAAGTCTACTTAATTGTTTTGTTTGAACAAATCTTGGAGAAAAGTGGGAGGGAGTGACTAGTATTTTAGTGTCCTTTAAACAGCAACTTTCCTAAAATGAAGAAGGACTAGACTGATAGTCAGAAAACCTAGGTTTTACTGCATCAGGAGCTTACTTGTGACCTTGCCCTTTTTTTTTAACCTTGCTTTTTTACTTAAACTCCCTCCCTTTTCTTTTTTTCCAATAATCTCATGGGCAAAATAGGGTTAATAATACCTTCTTTGTCAAGCATCTGAGCCATGCAAATGATATAACTGACATGAAAAGCTTAAGACAGGTTGTAATATGAAACATGATAGATCAGTTTCTACATAAGTGGTTAGTAGAAAAATCATTAACATTTTTTATTTTTTTATTATTATTTTTTAAAAGATTTTATTTATTTATATATCATATAGAGAGAGAGAGAGCACAAGCAGGGGGAACAGCAGGCAGAGGGAGAAGCAGGCTCCCCGCTGAGCAGGGAGCCCGATGTGGGACTCGATCCCAGGACCCTGGGATCATGACCTGAGCCTAAGGCAGACGATTAACCGACTGAGCCACCCAGGTGTCCCTCATTAACATTTTTAAAAGATTTATTTATTTATTTAGAGGGCGCATGAGTGGGGGGAGGGGCAGAGGGAGAGGAGAGAGAATCCCAAGGAGACTCCATGCTGAGCACAGAGCCCAACGCAGGGCTCCATCCCACAACCCTGAGATCATGACCTAAGCTGAAATCAAGAGTGGGTCGCTTAACAGACTGAGCCACCCAGGCACACCTCATTAACACTTTTTTGAGAATTCATTAACATTTGAAAAATACCAGAATTAGAAAGTATATGAAATTATAAGTTGGAAAACTGTTAAGGTCAGGAAAATACCTGTTCTACAATTTATTTTTTTATTTTTAAGCAATTTCTGCACCCAACATGGGACTCAAACTTACAGCCCCCTCTATCAAGTGTTGCATGAACTGACTGAGCCAGGCAGGCACCCCATCCCCTTCTATGATTTAGAGGATATCTGGGTGGAATCTCATGTGTAACAACATGAAGAGACCAGTACAGTTCTGTCTAGTACTTTTTTAGCAGCTGGTTTCTTCCCTAGCAGTTGAAGGTGTTTATTTTATGTTTAAAAATGTAAAAATTGTTATGATTTCATTCATTCATTGTTTGTGGAGAGCCATCTGCAATGTATGCCAACAAGTGCTCATTTGTTTCTTGTTTTAAAATAATAGTTGTGTGTGCCTCTAGAACAGTCAATTGCACTGTGGCATCACTACTGGTATCTAGAGCAGAAAAAAACCAGAAACTCAAATGATTGAATTGTGAAAATCTTTTAGCTTGATTTTCTTTTTTTTTTTCCTGGTTTCCAAATTTTTTTCCTGTTTGAGAGAATTTTTTTTCTTTGACAGTGATTTTTTTTTTTTTTTAGATTTTTTGTTTTTTTTTTTGAGAGAGAGAGACACAGCGAGAGAGGGAACACAAGCAGGGGGAGAGGGAGAAGCAGGCCTCCCGCCGAGCAGGGAGCCCGATGTGGGGCTCGATCCCAGGACCCTGAGATCATGACCTGAGCCGAAGGCAGATGCTTAACGACTGAGCCACCCAGGCGCCCCTCTTTGACAGTGATTTTTAAAAAAATGATTTATTCTCCTGGACTGAATCTTTTCCAAAGCAACAAAGAAATTTCACTAGGAATTATGTGACAGATGTGGAGAGTCCATTGTTGGTGGCCAAATGGTGTTCACAGAAAAGTCAGACTTCTTTTCAATAAGATGCTCAGACATTTCTCCCCTTCATTTGGAATTCAAGTGTATTATATATTCATAGGATGTACTGTGTCATTTGTAGCACACAGAGGCTACTGGTTCTTTAATATTCTGCCAGTCAGAATAGTGTAGCTATGGCTTTCTTAAAAGAATAGTATGGACAAAAATTGCTATTTTCACAAGGTTACCCTGAAGCCTGTTTCAGTCTCTAGTACCTATGCCTCATTTATTTCCACAGCTCTTGTCCCCTCTTGCCTTTTTTTGTATTAGAATGGATTTACCAAGGGTTTGTGTGTTTTTGTTTTTGTTTTTAATTTTTTTCTTTTTCATTATTAAGGATTTTATTTTTTATTTTTATTTTTTTAAGATTTTATTTATTTATTTGACAGAGACACGGAGAGAGAGGGAACACAAGCAGGGGGGAGGGGGAGAGGGAGAAGCAGGCCTCCCGCTGAGCAGGGATCCCGATGATGCAGGCTCCATGTGGGGGATGCGAGGCTTAATGCAGGGAGGGGGATGCGGGGCTTAGTGAATGAGCCACCCAGGTGCCCCCTTTTACTTTCTTAATAGGATTACAGTTTTTCAAAATATAATAAAGTTGGTCAGAGGTAAAAAAAAGAATACAATTAAGAATTGCCTCAAAACAGCTAGGCTTGGGAAAGGCTACCATCGTATTTAAGGATTTGGTAGTGTCTTAATGAGGGAAAGCTAAAAAGAAGAAAATGAGTTTTAAAGTATATTGGGGTGCCTGGGTAGCTCAGTCATTAAGCATCTGCCTTCGGCTCAGGTCATGATCCCAGAGTCCTGGGATCGAGCCCCATGTTGGGCTTCCTGCTCAGCGGGGAGCCTGCTTCTCCCTCTCCCTCTGCCTCTCCCCCTGCTTGTGCTCTCTCTCAA